TGAAACTTGAATCGGCTCATTCCTGATCATTGTGGAATAGCAAAAGTAGATTAGATGCTAAAAGTCGAGGTTGTTGAAGATCATCTGCAGCGATGCATGCATTTTTAGTCATTCAGAGGAGATGCGTTTTGGCGCAATAGGGTTTGGCATGCAGTTATCCGGTCTTCAAAATCTTGTGATAGGAATGTAGGATCAAGTAGTGCCTCTGGAACAATGCCTGAATATGGGCGTGAAGAGGAGATGGGAGGCTGTGGAGAAGGACAGACCCTTAAGCCACCAAGGTGGCAGCAGGACTCACAGAGACTGAAGAGCCTGTGTAAATGTACATTCACATCCCATGAGTGCTAACATCCACCTTTCATGTCCAATGCATGCAACATTTCTTGCGACATTCCACCAGTAGAACATTCTGTTTACGCACCCGCAAATTTCAAGAGTTCAGTTGAAGGCTTGGATGGGTTAGTTGGCTAAAATGTATCCTCTGAAGGACGTTGGTCAACAGGAGAACCATTTCTTTAACCAACTTTTTTTTGAGCTGAATTGGATCACTTAATCCCCGTGGATGCTTGGCCTAAAGGGTAGATATGTGTAGCAACTGACGAATCAGAAAAGGGGCAAAGAAAACTCTGTTACAAATTCGTAAATATCCTTTGGAGTCCAAAAATTTGGTCTTCTCGTGCATCACAAGCCTCAGATCGAGGCATCCTGAGAAACGTGTGGCTGGAAGATGATCAGCCGTAGATGCTCGAACTAGGCTCCTGTCTAGTGCTTGTTAGCAGTTCGTAAAACTCTTGTTAGACGCTTTTTGGATGGGCAGACGAAGTAACTTCTAGGTCGTACACTTAATTCACAGCCCAGGCTTAACTTTCCTCAAGATTTCCGCTAGTCTGCAGCAGCAACCCTCATTCTCCACGATCAATTTGCTGGCCGTTTCAACAACATGGTGTCACATATTACCATCGAAATCAAGATTCTTTAACGTCAAGTTAAATAACCTCTAACTTG